AAGATGGGTAGAAATATACCTATTTGGACAATAGACTTATTTATGTCATAATTAGTTGGCCTGCTTGCTGCATTTATCTAGCTCCTTTATTGTAATGTTATGATTTAAATTTGTTTGCAATATAATGGCTTAAGAAGTGGCAAAAAGTTGTTTTTTAAGCATTCCCATTTAAACTAAATATAAAATTTGGTATCTCAAGGTTCTATCGACCAGAGATCGAGCCTCATCTTCACTTAGAGATAAGTGTTTATTTCATATTACAATTTTATTCTTTCATTAAGCAAATCAATTCCTCTCTATAATACATTAAATCTAGCGCTTCATTAATGATAAAAATATACCTTACAGATTTTTATTGAACTTAGGGTGAAATACACAACTTGGTCGGAGCGACAGAGACCATATGGAATGTACCTAGTTCTGCATCATCTGTCAGTTATTCATGATAATTTCCAGCATTCGACAGTTGAATTAGTACATTCTCACATGTTTTGCCGGCATCGTCAGAAAGAGGCGCCATTCCTAGCGCAGAGTCCTTCAAAGTAACCAATGCAGTCAACCCCCCTAACAAATTTTCTGTTCAACCGCTGTGGCATCACCTCTTCCTCCTTTTTTATAGCTTCTAGCGCTGCATCCCTATCTCTTCGCCCCACTTTGTATGACCTATTTACCCATTCACACCATGCAGTGTTACCGTTTACTCCAACTTCGCCTAAGAGTGTCACCGTAAGTGGATTTAGTGAAGCCTTCAGAACCAGTTTCAGATGTCTTTCCTAAGGCTTTTGGGTCAGGTCGAAACGAGTTCAAACCAGCACTATACAGAAAAAGGAGGTTGCGACCAAGCATAAGGCCACAGCATCTTGGTCTTCATATCTAAATGAGAGTATAATGACTGTCTAAAACTGTCTAAAAGTAAAATCCCAGTTGTCTGGAAATGAAAGCCATTAGTGGTGAAGCTGTTTACGCTTTACTATAGCGACGCACTCTTAGGCAATATAGTAGAAAACGAAAACACAGTGTTGTGGATAGATAATTGGGCCATATGAAGTGGGTTTGAGAGAACAAGATGCAGTACTGGAAGCAAGGACAAAAAAAGGGAGAGGAGTATGCCACAATAGGTGAATTTAAAATTGGTCAATGGGACTGTCTTCACTTGTCACTTCAATAGATGTAACTATCGGTTAAGAATGGCGCCTCTTACTGAAAATCCTGACTGCGGAACCAGCGAAAGGTCCGGAAATATAAGAAGTCAACGGTCCGATATTTGAAATCTCCATGAATTCTGTGGCAGAGGACGCAGAACTAGCCGTGTCCCACAGGATCTTCCTGTCTCTCCGATAAAGTTACGAAGACGTGGTTGGAGCAACACTATACAGCTAAAGGAGATTTCGGCGAAACAAAAGGCCACAACGTCTTGATTTTTATATATAAAAGAAAGCTTGAGTTATAGTATATCTTAGAGGTGATTTTAATGAAAGTGTTTACGCTTGATATCATAATTAATTAGCTTGACTAGTTATAAACTTGGTGGAAATTTTTTACTGTCCATTATTAAGAGTATAGAGAAGCGGTAGTAGAGTACCAGCTAGTATAACAATTGACCTAAAATTGATCCTCAAATTAAACAACTAGTAAGTTATATTTCCCATGCGGCTAAGCATTTATAGTAAGGGAGTAGAGTAATGATTTATCCCGATATTTTCCTCGAAACTTAGATTATATCTTACAAATGAAAAATATTAAATAAAGTCAGTACCTTTGATATACAAAATAACAATGCAGAAAAAACTCTGAAGAAAAGGAGTTAGTGACGTTAAATATAAAAATGGTGCCCCTTTGCTTGATCTAGCTCTACTCAATGTATAGAGTAAATTTTATTTTAATATTCCAAGCTCAAAGCCTCTACAAGGCTGCCTATAATAAGTTATCTATAATTCCACTTATGCGTTCCTGATGTAGCTTAGATTTATGATTATGATTCACAAGGGTGGAGCCACACTCGGCAAAGAATAGTAATTAACCAAAGCATTATCTCTCAAACTTTAATCATACAACCCCTTTCTAATATTGTTTACAGCCGATATATTCTTCAGAAAACGTTAAATACTATAAGAGTAGAAAATTCAGTTGCTATAAGTGCTAAATAATAAGGGAATTAAAATAATATGGGGAAATTGATTGATCAGAAGAGTAGTAAAAAGCTGCGCGTAAAGTATTTGCGGTATAAGAGCCTAGTCACCGTAGATTGCTTAAGGTGATTTGAAGTATTTTCATAATTTTTTAGATTGTAAGAAAAAAAGCAAAATGACATATACTCCAGAGTTTGTCGACAGAAATAGCCAATTACTCGTTAAATAATAAAGCTTTTAGTAAAATAATTAAGTACAAGAAGACGAAACTACATTGGAAGAAATAAGCCGAATGAATGTAGGGTGGCGGATCGATAATAGAAAAGTCGAATTCAAGGAAAAAGATGAGTCTTCAAACTTTTTAGCAAATCCAAAGGCATTTTAATCGCCTTATTAAATAAGTTTTCTTATTTACCTTCTTACTTGAACCTCTATCGTCAACACAGATGTTCAATAATTTTGTTATTCAAAACGTTAAGATAATAATTTACTAAATAATTTAATTGAAATAAAACGATTAGGTTACATACGAAATGTTTGAATATGCATATATATATATATGCGCGTATATACAGACTAAAATAACGATAAATATAGTATGCTCATATAAGAATTGA